CACACACACACACACACACACACACACACACACACACACACACACACACACACCAAGAGCTGAGATTTATGTGTGATGTGATTAAGAGGTGCATTTGAAGAAAAGCTGTCCACTCAGAATATCACATTAAAGCTCAGCTAGACTCTCTGAAGAAGCTGCATCGATCGACACTGTAAGCTACTGAGGTCCATCCTAACCCAATACTGTAACTGCAGACCTATGGAGAAAAGAAAAACACACAGCTGGTCTGCATCAGATATTCAAAAGCATCAAATATGAGGTCAAGACCATATGATATTTTTGTTTTGCTTAAGGCATTTATACACTCATAAATTCTTGTTATGATACGTGATAGGCTGCATATTGTCTCCGTCAAATCCCGTCTTGGCCTTCATTTGTAACCTTTGTGAATTAATGGGAAGGAAACGTCAAATAAGAAAATGAATTAAAACATTTTAATTAAAAAGACTGCAGATCGTTCAGTCCCATCTGTCCTGCGTTCAAAAAAAGCCTAAAAGGAACAAAAAGAAAATGTGGGTGGTTTAAGGAGGACAGTGTGTTTTCTATACTACAACCTCTCTTTTATTTTTGATAGCTTGTGTGTGGAAGATTTCTGTGAGCTTCTATCGGTCAATGAAAAAAAGAAAAAACGACATACTGGGTTTTCTGTTAGGATGGTGGAAAGTACTCCAGATGCAGAATCTATGATACACTAAATAGACATTTTCTTGTCCCCGGGCCTCAAATACAGGTTTCTGTCAGAAACCAGTGCCTTACACAGGGATACACACTGGGTGTCCTTCCGTATTAGTGGCTTGCAGCAATCTTAGATGCCAAGAGCTAGCGATGCTGTTTGAAAGAGCAACAAAGTCCACATAAGGAAGTTCTTTCTTCCATGTGCTGTGTGGTTACCCAGCAAAAGTATCATGGTCATGTTTGGGGAAAGATTTTCATTTCAAAACAAACAAGTCATGCATTGTGCTGCAGACACAGTTCACCTTTTAATATTTTACTCAGATGGCAAGGGCCTAAACCCCATCAGCTTATAGTTTAGGATGGTTTGATCAAATAAGTCCTGTAAGCATCTGAATATGTGTTTACATGATGAAAAAGTGACGCTGCGGATCGTTTTTGCAAATCAGCAGCATGTGAATAACTTCTACCTTCTAAACCTGAATACATAATCCTGAGGTATCAGCATGAATAAAAGTCAAGAATATTTGTAAATTATTTCATCATTTACTAATTATTTTATCATCTATTTCTCCTAAAATTGAGTCTTCATCTCAAATAAAAAAACCAACATGTCGCTGATCACCACAATTCCCTTTGCAACAAAGGCGCACAATAAACTCACATCCCCACAAGAAAGCTACCCACCATTTAACCAGCTAATTACCTCACCGCACTATTTTCCTACTGCAGTTGTCTAATAAGCATTCATCCATGAAAATGCCTTGCACCACTTCTCCTTAATTAACATCCTCAAATAGCAAATAAATTGATGTTTGCAGGCCAGTGCTTCCTGTACCGCTTTTTTTTTCTCCTTTCTTTTCTTTAGTCTTTGGCAGGAAGATGTGGTTATTCGCACAACCTTTTCCTGCAATTTTCTTTTTTCTGTCTTTCCAGTGTCGTCGCATCTATTTTGCATGTATTCAAGCATTAGCATTTATTGTCTATCAAGAGCGTAAAAGAAAAAGTCCTTTTATTTCTAATGGCCGTATTTCAGTCATGAAGTAATTGTGCTTTGCAGCTGCTTTCCTTTTGCCAAGTTTACAATCTGTCTTCTACCTCACTTTCATTGTTACACTATGTCTCCACATGCCGTGCGACATATCACACCCCTTCTCCTCAATCAGTATCCTTAATTAAGATCTACTAAAATATAATTCCTCATTTACCAGACTTAACACACTTACTCTCTGATGTTTTTCCTAATTAGTACCCGTTTTCCATGCTTATCATATTCACTCATTTTCCCTCATTTGCATTCTTCCATCTATTCTCATTATCTTACTCTCACTTTCCTTATTTAGCGTTCCTCTGTTTCGCCATTTATCTGTCCCTGTTGCTGTTCCTCTCGGCTGCTAAACCTATCAGTTTTTAATCAGCATCCTCTAAGTATTAACATCCAGGCACAGGTTCTTCCCCCGTTCTGTTGCTCCATTAGTCTTTTTCCATTAACTGTTTATGACAGGGCTTACAATATTAACATCAAGAAGAATAATATTTCCCGTCGACCCCCTCATCTTCCACCTTTTTTGCCCTCCTGCCTTCATTTTCCACCACATCATTCAGAGTCCCCTCTCACACCTATCCTTCATCAGCATCTTATGAACTCCCAAATAAATTAATGTCTCGGGACATAATTATTCTCCGTTTGCCATCTGTTTCATATTCCGTTCCTCTTCGTCTCATCTTCCCAAATTCTTTCCATTGCGTTGAATGCAGACATAAAACAGCTTGAACAGCTTGGAAAAACTGAGTTCGGTACTTTGAACTGAGCAACAGGATAAGTCAAAGACACAGTCGTGTTTGACAGATGCTTTGAGAAGAGGACAACCAGAAACGTCAAACGTTCTTCAGTAATGTCATGGCACTGATTTTTCCTGACTCTGTGCCCTCCTATCAGCAAGCGTAGCTAATTGTGACCTAAATTTTGTGCGTCAGCCTGTGTGTGTGTGCGTGCATGCACGTATGTTTTTTTGTAAACCGGTGTCTTCAAATACAGTCAGCACGTGTTGACTTGTGAATAACATTTTCCAGAGTGAAGTTAATCCCCATTCCCTAGATACAAAAAAATACAAAGCCCAAAAGACCAACTCGTATAGAAGCAGTGGAAGAATTGAGAGGTACTGAACACAAAGCCAAGAGGATGATGTAAGAAAGATGATGAAAGAAAAATCACTTTTTCAACACTGCTACTGCAGATATTAATAACAAGTCCTCTAAAATCTCTATTTGAGCTTAAACACTACAATGAAAAGCTTAGACACTTTTGGTGTTTATGATTTTACTATTGTGACCCTACATGACCCTACATGTGACCCTACACATATAGTTGGATCCAGCAAGAGCTCAGTCAGCTTAGCTTAGCTGCACAAAGGCAAAAAATGGTAAAATAACTAGCAGCCAGTCCTCTTCCTCTCATTTACAGTCATTAACATTTCAGTTTTTGTATAAATGTACATTATTGAGTTTTGCAGGTGCTGGTGGGCACATGTTTCTGCCTTGGTCCTGGGGTTTTGTGTTGTTTTGAGGTTTTATATTCTTAGCTAATATGAGTTCTGGGGTCCCTGCTTGGTTGTCATTTGTTGCTTTACATTCATGGTTTTTAGCTTCAGAGTTTATTATTAGTATATTTTTTGTATTCTGATTCTTGTTTTGATTTGTCATTCTAGTGATGATTATGTTTCTGTGATTCTGAGCCTTAACTACCGTTCCTGCGTTTATTTGTAAGTTTTTCTTAATGTCTTTTGTTAGATTCTCTACCTTCTCTTTCTTCTCTGATTTGTCAGTGTCATTATACATGGTTGCTCTCTATAGTCAGCATTTTTAATTATATAAAAATGTCAACTTAATAACTTGATATTTCAAGTTATTTTCTCAAAATTTAGAGACCTAACCCTAAATTTTGACATATGGAAGGCCTTTTGGTTTTTGGGGTTTTTTTTATCCAGTGGCAGAAACGAGTTCCCATAGTTGCCCCTGAATAAGCTAAGCTTGTTTTAATCTTGTTGTTTATTTCCTGCTTCACTTTTCTCTTGTGGCTTGATTTGTGTTTTCTTCCTGCTTGTCTAACTGTTACCACCTGTATTGATTACATACACCCAAATCATCCCTTGGTGTATAAATAGCCCTGTCATCCCCATAATCTTTACCACAGCATTTGACCTTTTACCTCACTTAGTCTATTGCGTGTTGTCTTTAGCTTTTGCAATCAAAAAAACTGAATCAGCCACTAGTGGCTCATGAGCTCTAGCATGATTTCGTTCTTTTAGCTCTGGTATGTGTATGAGTCATCCACGAAAGTCTTGAATTTATGAGTGGCCTAACATATCCTGGGACACAGCCACACACAAACCTACACTTTCTATTTTCCCATTCTCCCCTCAGATCTTACGGCAGCAACTTCAAGGTCATTCACATGAGAGCAAAAAGAAATTTATTTTATAGCTTGTGATCAACTGATAAATCTTTAGTTCTACATCAGAGTTGATTGGGGTCCATGTTAAAGAGAAGTCAGATTTTTTTCTCTACATACTTAGATTTCTTCCATGTTTTAGTGTCTACTTTTTTTTTTTTTTTTTTTAGTATTTTTGTTACTATCCATTTCCTGCTTTACTTTTCTCTTCCTCCCTGTCTGTCCTCACCTGTATTGATTAAATGCACCCAAATCATCCCTTAGTGTATAAATAGTCCTATCCTTCCCCTTAGTCTTTGTTACAACATTTGTTCTCCTCTAAGCTCTAAAGCTTACCATAAATTCCATAAATTCTATGTATTCTATATACTGTGACAGTTTGGGGGGGTGCATCCAGTCTAGTTGTTTCCTATTTTTTTATGCTAATGCAAGCTAACAGTCAACTCACACCACCTTCATATTTATCATCAATCTTTAATATGTGGCAGCATGACTCTGTTCTTGGATTCCCTGCCTTTCCATGTGTATACTTTCAGGGAAACCGCTTGCAGTACTAGCAATCAGTTGATTTGGCTGATTTACTGGGTTTTGCAGACTGAGTTTTGGCTCCTGGCCTGCCTGAATTAGTGTTCAATTATTCCTGAAATTTCAAACAATCTTTGCTGCCATGGTCTAGAGTGTACCTCTCTCTCATTCTTTGTGTATCTTGTAGTCTCCCCTGTTTGTTCTCTCTCTTTGTCTTGGCATGGCTCAGCATCCTGTTCGCACTTCTTTCCTCAGTTGCACCTGTGATCCACTCTCCTATGAAGCCCTTCACCCCATATGACTGACTCTATGCGCCAGTCCCTGCCAGAGTTTTTCCAACCTGGTAGCAACACACGTCTAGTTTTGTATTCTCTTGATCTTGTTTGAAACCACGTTTAACTGTATGCCCCCAGTGTCTCAGGTTCATTGCCAGTTTGCCTTAGTCTCCTCAGTCTGCCACAACGTGTCAGTCTGCCACTTTTCAGTGAAGCCAACTCAACAGATCGTTGCCACCTTCAAGAAACTCCAGCCTGGGTCTCAACCATTCAGAATTGGTCTTTAATAAAACAAGGTTGTGCATGGTTATCTGACTGGCGCAATTTCTGTCTTAGTGGTCCAAAAAAAAGAATGAAATTTGAATCTTCAAATTAAATCCAGAGAAGTTTAGTGGAAAGAAATGTGTGATATGATAGTAAATGTAGTGGGAGAATATGCTCATATACTCTTATACCTATTTTAGTTGTAAACCCAAATTTATGTATATGTGAGTGATTAGCAAAACATAAACACAACAGTTACCACCTTTTCAAATCTGTGTGCTTTACTGAAGCTCCTTTGTAATGTTTGTGACCTGCTTTCCAACAATGCTAACTCTGCTAATATCATTATTTTTAATGAGGTGCTCACTTAAAAAGACAGTTGCACAACCGAAGCTTTGCAGCACACTAACATTTCCCATAATTACACGTGGATCCATCATCTCAGCAGAGTAATTGTTGCTTTATTGCTGCGCGAAAGAGGCCTGTGTGATCATTTAAGCAGAGACGTGTACCTGCTACTGATTCCTCCTGCATTCAATATTACAGGATGCAAACTGGTTAAGACCTCTCTTTTATAAAGAGTTCAGTTCCTGGCATTCAACCATGTGCCACTTTGCCAAACTGTCTCCATCAAAGGCTATTGTACCGGTCTGAAAAGGCGGAGTGCCAAATAATCGGTCAGATACTTTCAGTATTTATGCAGCCTGTCTGTGAGTCAAAGGCACACACTGTGTAATAGTTGTAATGGCTGTAATATATTAAAAACGCACATGCAGGCACATGCACATACACCACAGTGTGTTATTGACTTTCATTGATCCTAAGCGCTTTCATTCTTCGTCATTTGGCTGTAAATCCCAGTCAGTCTTTTAGTTATAATGCAGGACTGAAGAGGTCGACCTCCAGTCCCCCATTACTATACAACCTAAACCTTGCTCTCAACAGAATGAGCACACGTGAACACACACACACACATACACAAATGCATGGGTCCATAATTTACTGCAACACAAGGCCAAATCCTGGAGAAGCTTTTATAACTTGCCAATAATCATAATGTCATGTTGATGGACCAGGTCAATATCCTTGTGCATTTTCTGTCTGTCTATTTGTCTGTGGCCCTCTTTCTCTCTCCCTCTGCTCTTCTTCTAGATTCTACTTCGGGTTTGTCACTTTCTCATTTTCACTTGGTTTAAAAAATTTAAACCACTAGCTAATAAGGTCTAGCATCATTTGGTTTCTTTAGCTCTGGTATGTATATGAGTCATCCATAGAAGTCTTGAATTTATGAATGTGTCCCTAACGTATGCTGGGGCACAGCCACACACAAACATGCATATAATTAGACTTTCTATTTCCCATTCTTC